AAAAACCTAGAAAACGGACTGTTCCATACGGTTTAAATACGGGTACGAAACGCGTTCGTTTTATCGTTACGGGCAGGTATCGTACATCGTTGTAATGTCAGCCATTCGGTATTTGATTGATTTGCCTGCCCGGGTCGTTGGTCGCGTGAAAAACGCCCGCGGTCCCGTAGGTACGCGCTCACTTCGGCGGCGGTATTTCGAAAGTTTAACGCATTTTCAATACACTCGACATTTAACGCGTTGTTGATGACGACGGTGTCGTTATCGCGGCGTGCCCACCTGATACCCGTATACTATTGTTGTGGATTTCGTAAAAAAAATAACGGCCGGCGGCTTAGTTTTTATGAACGTTGTGTCCGCGCGCAGACACGCTGAACATCGTCGTTTATTATCTGCACTGCGGAACAGTGCGGCGCACAATTGTATATTTTTTCACGGCGGTGTTAGGCGACAAGTTTTACGTAGGTCCGTTATCGGCGTCACCGGCATTTCAAATGGGAAATCTCTCTCGCCTCGGACAGCCGAGAACGCCGAATTCGACTGTGCCCAATAAAGGAGTGATTGCATGCGTTAACGCATGGACATTAAACTATTGGCATTTTTTTTGTTATTACCATCGGTTCGGGAATTTTCCCCTTGGTTCACTTGATCGCTTTATTTATAAGTTTCGTACGACAGATGTTTTATTATTTTAGATTATCTTAATTAACACAAAAAAGATAGCAGTTTTACAAAAACGTGTGTATTAATATAAACGCGCGCGGACTTTTTCTTGATGATACATTTTTTTTTCCAAGTTTCCCAATACATCTTTTATTTTTAAAAATTCCTTATTGTTCTTGACGGCTTTTCGACGGTTTAGGAAAATGCTTACATTTTTTCGCGCAGTACCTCATAAGACGCAATATTTCTAGTGATAATTCACTACGGGTAGCGAATATCAATCGAAATTTTTAGCAGTTCACCCTTTTTACGTCCGTTTTGTATTGGTTGAATTTTGTTGATATCTGGGTTATGTTGGCAACAAGAGATCAACGATTTATCGTTGCATTGCGTATTTATTTATTTATTTAACACTTTTATTTATTCATCATCGTATCCAAAACATTATACTAATAAATTAAAACTAAAAAAAATACTCTGTATAATGTTTATCTTACTTTCTCAGTTATCCAATTACATTAGTGACCTACCCGTGAGCAGTATTATCTTTTATTATAATATATACTTAAATGGCGGAGTGTTTTAATCGTATTACCTTTCTCTCTTGGACTCACCCTGGGTCTCGTCGACTGAACCGATTTTTAAATTATAATTGGATTATGAACATAACTAATTTTCATAATTTGTTTAACTCGTTTTTTTCTTGGTTTCGGCTACATAATCGAAAATGAAAGTTTAACAAATAAAAATAATAATAACGAAATAACAACGAGCTATGAGAGTAATATCTCTTTTGTTTTTCTTGTAAATCATGTTTTGAGCAAAAAAAAAAAAAAACACAAGTCAAGCGCAAGCCCCTGAATACTGAATATAAAAATTAAAACATATTGAACCATTTGTAAAGAACTGTTAAGAATTATTAATTGTAAACGTTAAAAACTTCTGAAAACCCATGAACAGGACTCTTAAAGTACTATGGTATGTAATACGTACCTACAAACATTTTATTATTAAAACAACATTGTCTTTTTAGGTTTTTTATACAAATGTTTGTAGACTGTCACTGTAAGTATGCATTAGGACGTGCAAAACAATTCTTCAAATTGTATAGTATACAAAATATGTGTTTATACAAATGTATATTTTTACACAAACTTTACTAAAATGTACGTTTCAGTAAAAAAAAACAACGTTAATGAAGTGTTTTTATATTTTAAGCACGTGGTGTACGGGTGTACTATAAAAGTTGTGTACTATAAAATAAAAATGATAATAATGACTAAAACTGTACGTTTATAAAAAGTAGGCGTATTATGTAGTGCAGATGATAAAACTATTATTGTTTTATTTATTTATTTTTTTTTTTTTAAACAAGTTTAATTTTGAAACGTCATAAGTAGGGCTCGGAAGTTATGTTAGTTGTAAAATATGCATGCCAAAAATGTTAAACATGCAAAAAAATGTAATAAATGGGAAAAAAATTGTTCAAAGTGTATTATTCAAAAACATATATCTTCATTATAAATATACACAAAAATGATATTAAAGATTAAGTGCGAATCGCACCGTTGCTGTTAAATTAATAGACTGAGACGATATAAGAAACAACAATAAACGACTATGCGTTAAATAATATTTGGTTTTATAGTAAATTTTATTTAAAATACATTGGTGAAGAAAGAAAAAAATCATTTTTTTATTTTTTTTTTTAGCGAATATTAAATATGTATAATATGCGTAAACATATGCGATAAATCAACGAAAATCGATGAAATATGCACTTTTTGTCCGAAGTTAACGAATTCCGTTAGACAATATGCATTTAAAATGTTTGATTTTTAAACTCTCCGTTGTACAGAAAGAAACTCCAGCTTGGTCTGCTATAAATCCAGTGCATACAGAAAAATATGCGAATCCTATAACATCCGAGCCCTAGTCATATGGCTTTAGTGATACGCGATAGTGTTTCAACTGTATTCAGTTCAGACAATACGCAGGCGGAATATAATCGTGTAGAAAAATTACTATCGAGGTCGCGTAGGAATCTTATTATGGATTAAACGAGTATTATCCGGCGTACCTAACCTCTTATTATCGATATAATAACGACGACGATAGATATTTATTCGAATTCGTATCCGTTTTTACATAGTTACGGGAAATATATTCAGAAATATTATAAATATATACGGAAAATAAAAATCGTCATTAAACAAAAAGTACTTTTGCATTATTCATACGAAATAACACGAGATAATAAAAAAATTGCGAATAAATATTTCGAAAGACAAAATATTTAAATGTACCGAATCGATATATGAATATTATAAATAATTTTTAAAAAAAAAATAAACTCGTCATTAAAATATCATAATTTGATACACACTTGTGACCCGAAAGTACAAACGAAAGGTATCACAAGGGTCACAGAACATTATAAATTACAAGCAGAGCCAAAGGACAGTGACTAGATAAAAATTTAAAAGTTAAGTTACAAGTTACTGTTTTTAATAGGTAACTTTGAGTTCAATTAATTAAAAAAAAATTTTTTTATAAAATAACGGGTAGTTATTTTATAAATATTTAAGTTCTATCTAAAGAGTATTATTTATGAATTTTCCGTATGAAAAATTGTATAGGTAACCTTATGTACTTTGCAATTATTAGTTTGTACGACGAAAATAACGTTTGCACACGAATATTACAGTCAGGTATTCAAATTCATTTAGATATATTTCAAAATTAACTCAGCTCAGTTGAACATATTTTTTCATGACAACATAAACGGATCAAAATATTACGTTGACTTGTCCAGCTTTGGTTATAAGAAGTACAGTGACAACGTGATCCGTTTGAGTTATTAGCGGGGCTGTGAATTTAATGCATTTTCATGTTGTTTTTTTTTTCTGCTAACCCTTATAATAAAATAGATTCGGTTAAGGACATAAAAATTTATGTTTTCATGGTGTTTTCGTATTAATGCTTTTTTTCCTTCATATTATTTATATTTTTTCGGTCAATATAGTATATTAAATTAAGTTTAAATGTTTTTGTTTATAATAAAGACATTTTATCCAGGTTTTTACCCGATAATAAAATCACGATTGTTCTGATATCTACAAAATATATCTACTACAGTGGCGTATATAGGGGAGGGTTTCGGGAGTTCAACCTCCCCTCCTCCGTAGTTTATGATTGGTACGGCGGCACACACGCGTATTTATGCATTTATTTAATCTATGTATTAGCTAAAACCAAAAATCTTTTTTTATACCTCAAATTAATTTCTATACACGTCACTGTTCTACTATATAAAGTTGTTATCTTTAATAAATTTATTAGAAACACAAACAGATAGCTTCTACAATGATAACTTGGTCGCGCAGTTGTTCAATTTAATAGTCTAAATACCTATGGGTCAAAGGATATATTATAATTTAATGTGTCCATTATTTTTTCTTTTTCTTTTTTTTCAGACAGTAAAGTACCACTGTTTGAGTACTTATATAAATAAAGAATTTTTTTGTATTTTTTAATCATAATTTTTTTTTTCTTTTCATGTAATAAAAACAGTGTTATTAAAATCGACAGCAAATTTCCAGTGCGTAAACGCATGCATATTCAACACTTTTTTAGTGCATTTTTTACGTTGGAAATCGATCAATTTTACGAATTAGTAACTACGGTTTTCGAACGTGTGTATCCCAGTAACCCGTGTTATACGCGCGTACCGAATGAAATAGATTGTGATTAATTTCGGACACGTTCGATTCTACCAAGTACAATATATAATTAACTATCGATTCAACCTCATTATTATTATTATATAAGATCAATGGTACCGTTCTATATAATAATAATTATAATTCAAAAAAAAAACTAGTACGAGGTTATTAAAAAAAAAAAAAAAAAAAAAAAAAAAAAGTAACTTAATTTGCCGTATACACAAGTAGGGTACATAATAATAACGATAATATCGTATTATATGGAGTACGCGCGTACGTGTCCGTATTAAAAGCGGCAATCAACTCGCGAGAAACGCACTCGGTGGGCGTGTGAAATGCACCGGATAAAACATAAAAGGATAAACTTTCACTTACACCATACGGGCATACGCGTACCTACGTGAACACCTCAAGGATTTATTCTAATCGAACTTAAAACGTCACAAGTACAACATGGTAGTGTATTAGATGTATGCGTGTATATTATGATACCGTCAACCGCGTTTTAAGGATCCAAATCGATTAAATATTGTACACCATTCGGTGTATACGATTATTGCCGTGCCGCGAGGATTAGATAAATTACAATAAGAGGGTTTTTTTTTTTTTTATATATATATAATATTTATTTTACATATTTTTTAAATATAAAATAATTATACACTTATATTATAATAATATACATAATATGAGATTTTAATTTTTCCCGTTCTTCTTGTCGTCTTCGTTTTCGTAGTAATTCTCACTGTGAAAAATATTCAACATTATAATTATTTAATTAACATTGTTCCATTATTTAGCATTTTTTTTCTTTTTTTCCCCACACCTAAATTGTGTAAATGTGAACGTACGTGTCAATGTACGTTTGTACATTGTTCGGCCACTGTATTCAAATTTTTACCCCTACTCCTTGAATGACCCTAAACGAATACACACTCTGACTTTGGGTTTTCAAACAGCAACCTATCCTGTCACTTTTTAAACTCAGACTCGAATAGAGAATATTTTTTTTTTAGAAATTTGTGTACGCACAACACTTAACTGCCGTGGCGTGCCTAAACATATTTAACGAAAAGTATACGTAGACACGAAGTAAATAATAATCAGGAATATACCGTAGAATATTATTATTTATTTTAAACTTAATCCGACCACGAGAATTTAAAATCTGTATCTAAAAAAGACAATTTTCATTCGTTAAATCGATTATTTCCTTATGACCCGGCTGAAATATATAATTCTAAGATAATATTACTGAATACCAGAGACGGTTTGGAAATGGGAATTTTCCAAATAGTCTGGACCGTTTTGTTGTCTGGTTAACAATTTGTTCATTTGTTATGAATTAACTGTATTAAGTATTGTTTATCTCTCTCTACAAATTTACATTTGAAAGTTTACTATATCACTAATACTTTAACAAATTTTAATGAATGAAATTTAACTATTTATTTTTGAATATTACGCGATGTGTTATTTAAAAAAAAAAAACTAATTTTATTTTTTATAGTTTGTGGGCTCTAAAAAAAAATTAAATAATACACTTGTTGGAATCGAAAGCTAGTACAATTCGTTGGTTATTTTCTCAGGAGAAAGGAATGTCGGGAAATAAATTCCAATCTCCCTGCTTTTATTTGATTTCCATTCCACCCCTGTTAAATATATATTAATAGTACCCGTGCAAAATAGTCGATGTGTTCAAAAGTTAATTTAAGAGAAAAAACCCTAAACCATTCCTCATTTCGCACGCCACTGACACTGGTTTTTCAAATAGCATTTCCTACTATTTAACATAGATTCAAATAGACGATAGGTTTTTAAAACTTTTAAGACACTCTACCGTTTATAAATTAAGAGTTAAAAATTTAGAGCGGAAGAATGAGGAAGGGTTATCAGTTTATCATCAAAAATAGATATAGAATTTACTACCCTTTTATATACCAGATGATTCATTTAAGTGAGTACACTCATTTTCTTGGAAAAAATTAACATTTTCCGGAATTTGTTTTCTAGAACATTTACGAAACAAGCTGCTCCACAATTTTATATTTGTGTTATGTTTTGTCACCCTTATTTTTGGGGGTAAAACAACTACCTACTTTTAATTTTCAAATGGTAACCTATATTAAAAAGTTCCTGAATAGTTTGAATAATAGTTAAAATACATTTTAGTGTTGAAATATTTTATTTCTATCGATCCGTTGACGAGATATTCCACTTTTAAGTTTGGATCGGAGGAGAGTAGTAGAGTTTCATCAGTACGGCGTGCGGCGTGTTAATAATGTATCGATTTTTTAATATAGGTTGCCATTTGAAAATTAAAAGTAGGTAGTTGTTTTACCCCCAAAAATAAGGGTGACAAAAAATAACGCAAATATAAAATTGTGGAGTAGCTTGTTTCTTAAATGTTCTAGAAAACAAATTCCGCAAAATTTTAATATTTTCCGAGATTATGAGTGTACCCACTTAAATGTATCACCTAGTACTCTGATCTAAATTTTAAACTGTTACAACTCCGAACTCATAAACGGCACATCCAATATTATGGAGCAATATGCATGTCAACATTTTTAGAAATATATTCACTATTCGAATTTATATGCAAAAAGAACGTTGTTGCTATTTGAAAATAGAAAGTATACGCTCATTTTTAGGTACAAAAAAGTGGATAAACAATTAACATAAAACTTAAACAGTTCCATGACGATTAAAAGAAAAAAACAGGAATCAAATTTACCGGCACTCAAAGTATTTCCAGAAAATCATTGGATCCGGATGGATCACCTTGTATATTTGTAAAATATATTTAAACACAATTTGTTCAATATTGAAATAATTAGTTAACATGTTGTAAACATTTTGTTTAATATAAATTCCATTGAAAGTGTTTATTTAACTTTCTTAAATTGTAACAGAATTTGTAAATTCATGCTTGGAAAGTTATTATTATGGAATCTAGAGGGTTATATGTCACGAAATATTCATCAGTATACAAAAACGCTACACAAAAAAAAAAAAAACGTACTGTATTTTTTAACGAATTTTCCAAATATACACCACGAAAAATACAATTTTCATCTCTCGATTTTATGTACAGAAAACTATCTTTATTATTGATAGAATAATTGTTTTCCGTGAAAAAAACCACTTTTTACTAAAACTTTAAACTGAATAACGCCTCTTTTTTGCTGCCCTTACAATCTATATAAATAAATTAAATATTGTTTCAGTGAAAAAAACAATCAATAATAACGATATATATATATTATACGGAGTAATTAAACTGTTGAGAAAACAAAAAAAAAAAAAAAATCGTATATCGATTTTTTATTTATAAGTATTTGCTGCGGTGTTATATATTTTTTTTTTTTTTTCAGCAATAGTAATGGATTTTCACGGAACACGCGTTCGAAATTTTACGAGTTAATCGAGGACTATTATTAATAATTGTGGTACCTAGGCGTAGTTATACATCAGTTCCAGCCGTTCTGTAGTGGAAAATCGTTATTTTTAATTATGCGAATGGGCGTTTAGTCCAGAGCAGATGAAACCGGCGGCAGCTGGCGTTTTACATAAATACACAATATTAATATATACAGTGTGTTCATTTATCACGGACCGGCAATTAACTACGAGGATTTTAATGGATTTCGATTTCTGTGTAATGATTTACATATTAATATTTTGCATTACAATATTTACATTTAATATTTTGAAATCGCTTAAACTATATCCCAAGTATTGTTTTACACATTTCACGCCTCTTTATTATGCCTCGAATGAGTACACACCTTTTTATTATCGATTAGGAGCCACCCCTCGTACAGAGAATATTAACCTAAAAACTTCGATATTCATAACGCTAATATCGGATTTAAAATATTTGGACCGAAAGTGTATAGGGAAGAGTAACGGACCTGGTCACATTCGTATTTAGATGATTAAATCGATAACCCTTAATGCCCTTAATCGGCGAAATTATTAAACTGTTGTAATTCATAAACAGAAAATCCGGTGTTATTGTATTAATGTTATTTGTTATCGTATTAAAATGTTTAGGACAATGTTCTCTATTCGAATTTGCGTTTATAATTAATCACAGGGAAAGAGGGGGGGGAGAGATTAAGACATAAAGTCCAAATGTCTTATGTCTTTTCCGTATGCAAATTGTAAAAAAAAAAAAAAAAAAAAAAAAAAAAAAAAAATAATAACAATAAAAATAAACAGAAATCAAATTCGTTGAAAAATCCTCCGAGCGAATCTTTGGACCGGGATAAACGGATCGCCCTGTATACCCTGTAATATTCTGTGACAACGTCGTCGCCGGTCCTACGCGCGGAACGTATTGGACCGAAAACAATCGCGAGCGAGTGATTTCGAGCGACGTGTCATCGTTTATCCTGCACACAGTTTTAACGCGACGTCATCGTCACCCACCCACCCCCATCCCCCCACCCACCGGTCGCCGTCACGTCACTCACCATCCGGGTACGTTTTCCGGTTCGTCGCACTTGAACGACACGTCGTTGTACACGGAACCCGCGGAACAGCTCCCGTACTGCGGGATGACGCCGTTCCGGCAAATGTAAAACTTTTGACAGTCGTCCGGGTGCGCGAAAGTCGGATGGGGTAAGATTCGGCCGTTCGGGCCGATCACGTCGCCGTCCGGACACGAGAAACCGTCGGTGAGAGCGTCTGTAAAAGAAAAGAAAAAAATAAATAAATAAATAAATAATAATAGGCAAAACGCGTGAAAAGTCATAAAACGCGAACCGTTTCACTTTGTGAAATGTTCAGGTAAAAACGAAACTGCAATACTATTACGTTCGCCAGCGTGTGATAATAACTCGTGCCCTGACGAATCAGAAAAAAGAAAAAAACCGGCACACAACACGCCTGCCGATATTTTTGCTATGCGAAGTATAAATTGAAAAATTGAAATAGGCGCGGGCCGTCCCGGTTATCGAATCGCAAAAATGTGAACATTTTTCGCGATTCGACCGACACCGATATTATGTTTTAAGTGTCGGATTTCGGATCGCGGCGGTCTCGTTCTACGGACGCGAATCGATCGCGGCGCGACGCTGTCGGCACAAGAAGGCCGTACATCAAAAATTTTGAAATTGTTTACGAGCAATTCCTTTTTTTTTTTTTTCATTTCGGTTTTTTACCATGTGGCGCGCTCGCACTGACAGTGCGAATCCGTCGATGTCTTAAGACCTTTTTTTTTTTAACGCGAGACGACCGTATTTTCTCGTGCGGTCATTTCTTATTAACGAGTTGATTCACGTGCCGAAGAAATATTCATGTTCGTTTAACGCAAGTGGCGCGCGTTTCGTTCTATCAATCCGCTCCGGTAACAATACGTTTTCTTCATTTATTAACAAATAACGGTTTAACAGCGACTGCCGTAAAGTAACGATTGCGACGGTCTAAAAACACGAGACCGATTCGGAGACGCCAACCCCTTAAAACCGAAACTATTCGGCCCCGTTTGTACGCGAGAGTACGGATTTCGTTTCCATCACGGCCATCGTCGATCGGTTATACCGGCACTTTTTGAAACAAAACATAACCGCCATAATTGTGTATTATTATGGTTTCGCATTTTATTCGATATTGTTTCCGTTTTAAATTATTATACTTGAAGTACAATGTATTTATCGCGCAATTGTCGAAATTACAATGGACTTTTCGGCCGTGCTCAAATAATTAAATATCATTATTAGTATGGAGTGATTAATTAGACCAGTGGCACCCAAACCCGCGGTACACGAGGACATTTTTTTTTCACATTAACGTTGAAAACTGTAATTTAAATATTAATAGATTTACCTAAAAATTAAGATTTTTTTTTCTACTTTTATGAATTTTAAACAATAAAAAGTGTTAATAAATGAATTAAAAGTAAAATGTATATTTGAAAAAAAAAAAAAAATTGACTCTCCAAATTTAGTTTTAGAATTATTAAGGTGGTACGCGCATTGATCATTAAAATATCAATTGGTAATCGGCGATAGTGAAAAAATCGGGAACGCCTGAATTATTCCAGATTATTACAGATTAGGCATACCTGTATGGCTATATATTATTGTATGATATAAGATCGCCGATTGCGGGTTAAGTCCTGAAATATTTCAAGTCGATACGGAATACCCATTTTATTTCATAAATTATCAATGAAATTACAAATTTTTATATCCGTTTCGTGAAAATATGTCTTGTACTTTGTGATAATTTTTAGGAATTTCACCAAGTGTAAAGAAAAATAAAAAATTGTTTGCATTTACTACTCATCTACGTGTACTCGTACACACGCAGTACAATTTTGTTAAAAACCTTTTAACAATTTTGTTCGGAATTCATGTGCGTTTCAAGACAACAGTTGGGATCCGTTCGAACGGATTTAAAATGTTATATCAAACACTATCACGGTTTCAATGGTTAAGTACATACGGCGGCGTATTTTGGGGGGGGAGGGGTACCCGGGTCTTCCCGCCCTCTCCCCAGAAGAACAAAGTATAGTTTAAAAGTCGTAAATGACTTACTACGAAGGTATAGAGAAAAAGAACATCAATTTGTATAGGTTCGTTTTTTATTCATGAACCAGTAATTATCTCGGAAGATTTTAAGTGTATTTGATTTATATTTTTTTAATCTTTGTAGAATCGTTTGAGCTTTATTTTAAAATCATTTTTTAATTTGCACCCTTACTTCGTGTACCTTAATTAAGAAATATTATATTTTTGAAAAACTCAAACGGGAACCCCCTCCCCCCAGCCCTTTATGAACACAGATTCGAATAGAATATATTTTGATATGCATAACACTAAAATCAGATTTACCGTATGTAAGCTGTAACTGATTAATATTTAGACCGCAGGAGTAGAGAGGAGTTATCAGTTATCATTTGAAAAGTAGATATTCAATTTATGGAATAGAGGCGAAAAATTCAAAATTGTTTTTAAAATAAAGCTTCAACAGTTTTACAAAGGTAAAAAAAATATATGAATCAAATTCACTTAAAATCTTCCGAGATAATTCCGAGATTAACACCTCCGCTACAGGCATTTTGAAAACACGCCACGGAGCGCACGCGTCCAACGCTAGCGGCGTAGGTGCCGAGGATTCGGGGCGAGCGTTGTCGCGGCGGTTAATATTACCGAACGGACGGAGCGCGAATCCCGAGGTTTGACCGTATCCTCGAAATCGTATCCGAAAAATTCGCCGAGCCGCTTCGGGAGCGACCATTCGGACGGGCGCGCTGCACGTTTCGCTAGTCGCGTAGTTTCGCGCGGGATTTTCGCCGGTTTTCGACGGAAAACGGTGAAATCCCGGCCGGGCGGACGCGCGTCAACGACGCGGACACCGTACGCGGGCCGCCGTCATCGCGCGCGTCCGGTCGCCACGGCGCGTCCGTTGCCCCGAGTACGTGCCGTTCCGCGACCGCGGGTGCGCCGGCACGACCGTCACGGGCGCGGCGGGGTCGCGTCAATGATAGGCGTCCGCGGCACTTTTCCCCGGTGCGCGTGCCCGGGCGTTTGCGCGCAACCGGACGGTTACGCAGCGCCGTTGCGTCGCACGGGCGCCGCGTTTTCGGGACCGCCAACGCAGGTGCACGTTGCAATTCGTTTCGAAAATCGAAAATCGATGAAACCGACACATCGCCTGCACCGGTTGCGCGCGGCGGCCGCCGTCACACGCGCCGGGCGCCGTGGCGGTAACGTTTTCGAAACGGCTACAGGTTAACGGGAAATTTAACAGAACCGAACGTTCGGAAGCGCCGACGTTTCCGCGTTCCGTCGTGGACCAGCGGCGTGACCGGGATTTCGAACGCCCGCGCGGGCAAACCGTTTCGGATTAACCGAATTACGGGTCGGGTCGATTTGCCGGGCGGGCGCCGTGTAGGGGACCGTACGGCCGTTGTTACGGTCGGAAATTATAAGAAAAAAAAAAAAAAAAGAAGAAAAAAAGGGCTGTTCGCATAATATTTTTGTAGGATTTCGATTCCTGTAAAGACTCCGTTCGAAGGCTGATAAAAAAAAAAAAAGAAGAAAAATCTGATCTCAATCTACACGGTTCGTAATAATCTGTTTTCGTACGTCCGTCCCCCGTCCGCCCGTATGTCACTTGTAATGTGCGTTACAACAATCGTCGTCGATTTTCGTTTACCCGTCCGGCCAACTGTAAAACAATTATGCGTTTGGCCTTTATCCGGAGCCCCTAAGCGTCACGGGCCCGCGGCTCGTCGCCCGTGACGCCGCCCCGCCGGTGCGCCGCGGTCGCGAACGCCGGAAAAATCGTTCTTGCGCGTGTCGAAACCGGACGCACCGGACACGTCGTCGGTGACAGACCGGATTATAAACGGTTGACAATTCGCCGTGCGTCGACAAAAGTTTACTGCGCGACCGCTAAAACGGACGGCGAACGCCGCGTTTGCCATTCGAAAGCGCTTTGCGCGCGCGCCGTTCGTGCGAGCGCGGTCGGATTCCAATCGGAATCGCGACAATCGGCAATAAACTGTAAACGCGCGGAATCTTTTGGACGGGAAGACGTCGCACCTGTACGCGTTGTAGAGACAAGGCGGAACAACGCCTCACTAACGCGCAAAACAACAGAAATCGCGTTGCCCAGAACCGTTACGATCGTTACAATCGGGGACGTAAATCGAGGACGTTCGCGTGTATTTTCAATTTTTTTCGCGGAAAATAAAAAATAAAAACCGTACGGTTTTTTGTTCATTTTTTTTTTTTGGTTCTCGAGACAAATTTTTTTTAAATTCAAATATGCGCCGACTACATCGTGCGATGGGAAAACGAACCTTCAGTCAGTATAAATCTACGCTACGGTCCAATCGCCGATCATTTATATGCGAAAATTTAAAAAAAAAAAAATAAGTTGTCGTAGCACGTGACACACACGTATTGAATGCGAATTATACATTTTGTTTCCAAATTATTTTATTTCTCAATAATATCATATTAAGACAAATAGCCCCAATCACTAATGTATTTCAATAAATACATAATTTTGTTTGTAACTACGTTTTTGTATTTATCTTATAAAAATTTAAATGCATATTTTTTATTGCATGTTATTATGCGAAAACAAACGTATGTTTTTTAAATTATAAACGATGCGTATTACAGCAACTAAACCTGTATTTTAAAATTTGAAATTCACTTAATTAATATCTTATACAATCATAAAATCGATTTCTCAACAATTAGTTAGGTGGTAGTCTATAATGGATAGGGTTTTAGGTTAGATTAGGCTGCAGTGTCGTCTCGAATTCAATACCCGACTGTGGCAGCTACAAGATTCTGTTTTTGTATTTCTTTTTGATTAAAAAAAAAAAACAAAATTGTTAGAAAAATATAATTTAATAAATAAAAAATCCGGTGGCCAACAGTTATTTAATAAATATTTTCTAAATGTTATTAAAATGAAAAATATGGAAACATAAAACGTCTTATCAATGGTTTCATTGTAAAAACAACATTATACAAATCTTAATAAAATATATTTTTGCCATCCGGGTAGTTCAACGCGTTTAATTTGAAAGCAACGTTAGCATATCGTCGCATAGCCATCAGCTTGATATATTTTTCAACTACTCGCTGCTGACCATTGCGCATAACAATCGTGCGTGTACGTAATGCATAATATTAAATTTTTAACCACTTTCTATTTCTCTTTTGGAATTTCGTACACGCCGTTTACATATTATATTATCACGACGATAACCCGTAACTATTATGTTCTCGAACGCAGGCGCGACAATGAAAAAACATTGCATAAAAATCGCGCTCTTAAAATATCACAATATTACGTGGGCGCATGCGTGTCGTCGCGGTACAGTTCGGTTGTACAGGCACGCAATATTGCGGTTTTAGTCGCCGAAAACGTGATATCATTGTCCGCACGGCCGTAAAAACGTACGTCGTCGTTGGAAAAGGAAAAGTCGGTATTTACGAAAATCTTTCGAAATGCGAACCGCCGTGTATAAGCTATTGATAAAAAAAAAAAAAAAAAAAAAAAAAAAAAAAGAAGAACAAGAATAATAACTTACAGCAGGTTTCTATGGGGAAAACAACGTTAATTTTCACGCGACGCCGGTTTAACGACACCGTCAGTACCGATACACTGCGGTTTATTCGTAATAGAAATGAATAAAAAAAAAAAATTAACATAATATTATATCTTATACAAGTAGCGTTGCACCGTTGAATTAGCATTCGCGATGACATAAACGCGCGTGCCGGGAGATTCGGAATGTCGCGCGGTCGCACGACTAATACACGATAAAAAAAAAAAAAAATCGGTGAAAATCGACGAAATATGCACTTTTTCGCTGAAATCAACGAAATGTGCAAACTGTACGTTCTAAATGTCCAATTTTTAAATTCTCCGTCGTTTAGAAAGTGTATTTCTAGCTCGGTCCGCTATAAATTCAATGCATACGGAAAAAACACGAAACTCCTATAAATCCCGAGCCCTAGTCATTGCACTGCCGCCGGTATATAGACACTGCGACTGTCATAATACCCGCACAATAATTTTCCGCCGCGATAATTATTATAGTGACTGTCGCGACAGTGCCGTCGTCGTCGTACATTCTTGTCACTATTATCGCGATACTATTATTATTATGGACGGAATCGTGTGTTGTACGCGTTTTCGATCGGTTTAAATCGCGTAATTATATTTTTACCCGAATAATGACAAAATCGCGACCCGTCGTTCGGATAACACGTAACAATGATAACATTACATATCGCTACCGTTATCACGCTACCGCTTCAACAACCGCGGCCGTTGACGACGACAGCGACGATAAACCGTTGCGATAGCGGTGTTATACTATCGCGACAGTTACTGTCGCCACGTTTAACCGCAATCGCGTGACGATTTGATCGGTGTTTTTTTTTTTTTTTTTTACCTTTTTTCGTCGTGGTACACTGCCGTTTGCTGTCGGTGGACCACGCGCACGAGCTGGTGGAATCGTCATAGATGAGGCCGGGCGGACACGGCATTTCGTTGGCCACGCCGTCCACGCAGTTGACGAACTTATCGCAAACGCCCTCGTCCCAGTGTCTGTAGTATCCGTTGGCCCGGGGACAGCCCTTGGACGTTTTCGGTTCCTCTGTGCGCGTGTCATAATATTATTATAGAGAGAAACGGGGCGAAAAAAAAAAAAACACATCGCATTTACTTATATAAATATATATAAGTAGTGACGCGTCGCGGAAAAACGGTAAAAGGAGGAAACGAGAGTGGAGGGGAGGGGGTGGAGGCGGAATCTCGGATCGGGCGTAATTGTTACGTGTAGCACAGAAATATCGACGCGGGATACACGCGACTATAATCGGCGGACAACGATCGCCGCAACGTTGCCGGAGGACAGACGGCGGGAACCGCCGGGAAGAATGACGCCATAGCGGTCAGAGGGCGGAGGTGCGGAGGCCGTAGAGAAAAAAAAAAAACGAAAAACAGAGAGAAAAAAGAGGAAAAAAAGAGGAAAAAAAAAAAACACAGTACCGCATTACTGGCCGTACTCACGTTGCACGTTCCTCTGGCCGCAGTCCACGTTTATGGACGTGTCGCACCTCTCGTGGCTCGGGTTCGTGTCGTCGAACAGCAGCCCGTCCGGGCACAGTTTTTCCGTGAGTTCGCCGTCCGCGGTACAATGGTAGTACAGGTCGCATTGTATCTGGTCCGGATAGAAACCCGGTTTTTTCGGACACTGGAAATCGCCGTTTTGCTGCTGTCCGAGCGCCAAGCCTTTAGAAACGGAAAAACGGACGGCCTGTTAATGCGTTTCGCGTCGCGGGGTTTTCAAAGGGGCGTCGCGCGCGCGCGTGACGTTATATCGCGGCGGACGCGAGTCGAATAATAACGGCGCGCCGCCGCGACGATACGGCGGTAATGAATTATTTTTTCGCCCGGCGTTCTTTTGTTTTTCCTCCCCGGTTTCGGCGACAGTAATTATCATTGGGGCGGCGGGGTGTTGCGCGTGCGACAATAATCCCAGCAACGTCAGTTTAATATTTAGCGATAATAACAGTGTAGAATACTCACCCGCGAACAGGACGAGCGTGGCGGCGGCGGCGGCGGCGGCTGCGGCGGCGGTGATCGGAGCGTGCATCTCGTCGCTGGTGCCTAAAAGCCGTGCGGATTACGAGTGTGGTGACGGCGAACGGTCTTCGTCGCGGGCCCAAACGAACGCGGTGGTCGCCGGCGTGTCGGGAAAAGAAATACGAAATAATAATAATAATAATAAAAAAAAAAAAAAAACTAGTCGGAGCCCCCCGCGTACCTCGCGCGCACAATATCGTAATAACACGCGCGCGACTTGTCGCGACCTCTGTGCCCGCGGGCGGGCGCTCCGACGAAAAGGTTTTTGAACTCCTCTGCGCGGTGTTCGCCCGCGTACGCGTACAAAACACTTCGACAATAATAACAATATCATTACATTATACCGCGCGCGCGTGATTGCGCGTGCGCGCGGCTTTTCGACAGTTACGCGCGCGCCCGCGTGAATGTCAAGTGGCCGGGTCTTTCGAGTGGGTACCCGCCGGTGCACGCCGCACGTGCGTGCCCGCCCAGACACCGCACAATGGACGGCAATACGTGACGGAACGGACGGCGAGACCGGGACCGGGACGACGGGCGTAGCACCGTAACGGCGGCGACGGTTCTCGCGCCCGCGCGACGTTTTCGTCCCGGTCGCGGCTACGCCGGAAACGGACGATTTCGAATAATACCGCGACCGCGGCGTCGGCGTATCGAAAACCCGACGCGGCGCCCGCGGTGACGAACGGCTGTCGAATTGTAAAACCTTTGCGCGCGCCGCGCCCGTTGCCGGACGTGTGAAACGTTTCAACGCCGGAATCGGTTCGCCCGCCGTCGCTGTTTACCGGCGGAATTTTCCGGCGCGCGAGTGTCGACCCGTCGAGTTCGACAGCGATCGCTGTTTGGGAACGGATAAAAAAAAAAAAAAATTAAAAAAACGAGCGGCGGTCCCATTAAGAAACGGATAAATGGCTGACGGACATACTTCGCACGCGGTCGCAGCCGCGGTTGTAGGCAGGAAGCGGGAGAAGTACGATGCAGACGGCAATTCAACGCGAGTGGCGATAAACCGTCGCTAACGAAAAAACGATTCTGAGCGGATTTCAGTTGATTGGGGGGGGNGGGGGGGGGGGGGTTGCTTTGTCAACATACCATGTCGTATCATCGTAAAACGGTTACAACAATGTGCGTTTCGACGACAACAATTATTTTTTAAATAATGTTTAAAACGATAAATACTTACAAACGATATAAAAAACGGTTGCCGATGACAATCTTATTTGTAATGTTTCTATCATTTTTAGCCTAAAGAACCGGGTTTGGGATTTCGCAGCGCGCGCACAAGAACAGCCGGTACACTGCAGTTACGGTGTTTCTGTCTGGTTTTTTTTTTTTTGTGAGTAGTCCTGCGCCTCATATGCGGGGTATCTTTTTGCCGCGGTTCAAGTGGGAAATACGATAATATAGCGCCGACCGTACAGAAATCGCAAATTTAAATAACCAAAACGAGTCATTCGAAATCTGACGAATTACGTGTGCGTCGCGGTGTGAACCCTAATATCGTGGGAACGGCACCGAGTATGTAACACAGGTACGCCACGCAAACGTACGGGGATTTAGCTTCGGGGTGGGGTTGTCGGTTTTCGTACGGACAAACGAACGTGTACGCGTAGGTACACGCCCGGAATTTTAATGGACGGGGCCGCGTTTCACGGCGTTCGCGTACGGACGCGGTTTTTTTTTTTTTTTTTCGTATCAAATTGTTAAATAACGACGAGACGACGACCTCTGCAGACGGTCGCCGTGGACGTTCGCGGCGCTTTCGTACGCCGCGTGTGTAAATGTTTCTAATTACTATTGCATTATGTTCGCGTTAAAAACGAATCGCGTCCGACGCGTACGACGACATCGGCCGGCGGTGATACCCAAAGCGATGTAATTAATACAAAAAAACAGTACGCGCGGCCATTCGAAAGCGCACGAAAGGACCGCGCGCACGCCTACGGGTTTTACCTAACTACTTGTTTTTGGACGATCGAGTTTTTACTTTTTTATTTGTATTTAATTCGTTTCCCTCCGACTCTCCCTCACCCCCCCCCCCCCCCCTCCCCGGTAA